ACCATACCTCCTAGCCTAATACGAATCCAGCACACCATAAAGAGAGTTCAGTAGACCCTCGGTTACTGGCCGCCATTCATATTGTTATTGAAGCTGCTCTTGGATTGATCGATTTACTTAAGATACTCGGAAGACTTTATAGGCCCATACTACGTTGAGATCCAGCAGGTATTATGTGAGAAAAGCCATCTCAGAATATTCACCATTACTATCTAAGAAATGACGATAATCAAGCCCCAGCCCAAATCAGAAAGCGACTGATATTCATTACCTAGGAAGTTGCACATAACATAGAACACTTCTGATCGCTTCATTCACTTTTGTCCCACATCACTTCACTCCACTCCCTTCCATAAAACCCTCCAACCCCAATTCCCACTCTGCACACCAAACGATGGCTACATAAACATTTCTCAACCAAGAGTAAACTCCCTAGAGTCACACACTAAACCAATTGGCGATTTTCTCAAGTGAACCATTGCTGCTCTCAGGACCTTGAAAAACAAAGCACCTTGCGCATTGTACTTCCCTCCAACTCGCAACCCCAACCCAGCCCTAGAAAAGCAAATTCTCAACTCATGAATAAACTCAACTCAAAGTGACAAAAGCAAAAACAGCCTATGACAACGATATTTCATCACCACTTACCGAATCTCACTACCATTATCAAGCGTCTGCCCACTGTGGATCCTTAGGCTTGCTAGCACTTGCTAGAACTTCCCGTTTCAATGTATTGCCGCTATCCATAAAATCATATTCTCTAAAATCTTCTCTCACAATCGATTTCCCGTTCACCTCCCTAAGCGAGTCAAACCGACTGCTTTGATCCAACCACAGCTACACGTAAGGGAGTCTTTCGCTAGTCTATGTTCTGCTGTAACGAATCCAGATCTCAGAATCGAGACCTTTCATACCCACCTTAAACTCCCTGCCCGACTTCGGGGATGCTAGATCCGTCTGTAAACAACATTTACCCCCATGCACACAATTCATCCGTACTTCATCAAAAGTATCTGCCCCTCATCATTTCTCAATCCAAATGTATACAAAAGATTCATAAGTTTAATTTGTATTTATATTTTTATTTGACGAGAAGAAAGGCTCATCTGTCTATTTATCTTCACGCCTTCTATATTATCCATCCGTGAATCCATCCATCCAAGTGGTGAGCCAGCCAGCCAACTAAACAGTCAACCAACTATCTATCCGGATATCCATCCAAGCGCCCGACCTGAACCCGTTCCTCTATTCGGTCTGGTGTTTAGAATAACTTCTCGTCTTTCTATGTTTATCCACATCTCGCACTTTGTGTGCTCTTGCCTTGGATCTTGGTATCTATTCGGCGCGGGTGTATTTTCTCCTCAACATCTGTATGCCTTTGCATATCATGTCCTCTTCTATACTACCATCTCAAGCACCCACCTCGCCACCAGCACTCTCTACTAATCTCTTTCTCCAGTCCTCACAAACCTGTTCAAATCCCCCGACTACTCCTCTACAAACACCAGCGCATTCCCTTTCCCCCAGCCTCCTCTCCCAATCTCCTTGTTCTACCCACTTCTCTCCTTCTTCTCTGAGCTCCTCTTCCCTTCTCATTTCGCCGACCAATTCCTTTGCTGATTTCAATTTCCTCGATGCTTGTACTGTAGTTTGTCTGGACATATGTAATGTATCTGACAAGTATGTTATCGTTTGAATTAAATCAGTGGTCAGAGAATGCAAGGAGGTGATTGATGAAAGGGATTGTGTTGAAGGGCGAGGAATGGAATCGCTGAGGGTGTCGAGGAGAGGGAGGAGTGTATCTATAAATTCCGGAGTAGGCGGCGCGGACAGAGGAGAGAAGAGGGGGTGGGAAAGGTTCTGGATGAGACGGGTTTGATGGAGGAGGTGCGTTGAAAGGGCAGTATGGGTCGTTACTAGTCTTTTATTCGGATTAGTATTTCTATAAAAGGAGCATGAAGTATTTTTCTCGACGAAAGGAGGAAATGAAAGATAAAGAACATCCAGAAAGAGTGACAAACCTAGTAGTATTTCCCTCCACCCCAGACTGACCCCCCAAATCTTTCAAACTTTCAATGACCCTCTTAACAACCCCATCAGCTTGACTCCCATTATTTTCCGTACCCCTCCTTGCCAACCCCTCTACCATATCCATTCTCGCCAATAAAGCCGGTCCAAAGGCCGGACTCTCCAAATCCGAATCTCCTCCATAATCACTCCCATCATATTCAGACGGCGATCTCGCATGGCCTAACGCATGAACTCTCCCATGTCCGGCTGTCGGCGGTGTCAAGGTCGAATTTGAATTCATAGCTGTGTGTTGTTTTTTCGGACTCGTAACATCTACACCACTATCCCTCACTGCATTCTTGTCTTCTTCCGCATCCTCATGATCCGACTCCGTTGGCGCCATGCTTTGAAAATTAAGATCTGCTTCGTCCATTTCTCCTTCGTCTTCACTCCATGCATCTGCTAATTCATCTGCTAGATTTCCCAGTCCATTTCCTCCGTTTTGCGCTGACCCAAGTACATCCATACCAACTCCATCAACACTACTGCTAAAGTCTCGAATCATATGGTTTGGTGTAGTGGGTGTATGTATGGAAGATTTGGAAAGTCTGCGTGAAAGGCTCATGGTTGAGGGTGAGAAATCTAGTGCGGAAGGGTGTCGACTATGCCTAGGAGTTTGTGGTGAAGGAGGCATTTTGACAGGTATGGAAGTTTAATTTCTCGGTCTTTCTATCGTCTTTAGGGAATTTTGTGATTCAGAATCGTATGCGGTGTTCTTTTATGTTATCCTTCCGTTTGATGTGGTATGATTTCCTACAGTCGTATGTAATAGATTCTCTCCTATTCGATTTCCTAAAACGAATTTATTTCGATCTGCAATATGAACCAATATCCGTATTCCTAAAAAGCCGTAGCAAAGTCGTAGGAGTTGTAGTATAATGGTATGAGTGAGTGAATATGACTCCGCGCACAAATATAAATGGTTAGTAAAACAACAATGTTTCTTTTCCTTCTTCGCTGTACTGTCGACGTGGAAACCCAAAGACACTTGAACCTTGTTATAGTATCAAACAACAGCTAAGGTCAACAGGGTAGTCCTCCAAGGTGATATCAAATCTCGCTTTTGTTATTATTGTGAACCAGCGCAGAGTAAAACACCGTGCAAGATGGTTTGGCGAGGAGGATTGATGGGTCCCTGAAAGTCTAATCCTTATCTGAGATGATATGATTGATATTACTTGGCGATGAGGTAGGATGAGGGAGGTGTCTATCTGTGCGGTTGACAGGAAAGACTTCGTACCTACTATTCCATTTTGGCTTTCTCTCAGTCGAATATATCAGTCTGCTGTTTGGGAAGTATAAAAAACGAGAGACCAATCCAATAGACAAGCAAGTTCCTTGCACTGGTCGATTCTTGATGTGCCGCAATATCATCGGCGTTCGGTACTCGATGATAGCGGTGACACATGGCAATATAATTTTGGTCTCCGGTTTTGAGTTATGTTGTAGTAGGTAGCTACAAACTATCTTTCATGAGACACGAATTTTCCCACAACATACCATACTGTTCCAATTCTTCAAAGAAAGAAAGTCACAACCTAACAAACCGCACACTCAACGACGCATCAGACCTTTGAGTACAACATCATCGATTGAAGCTCCGAGCAGCTCAAGACATACTATCCTAACATCAGTTCAAGAAGCACCATCCCACTACCCCTCATCGAAATGACAACCCTCCGCCCTTTTTCCGCCCTCGACGTCCTGAAATTTAATCCCACAAACCTCGATCCCTTAACCGAAACATACGATCTCAGTTTTTACTTCTCCTATCTAGCACGATGGCCGCATCTCTTTACCGTCGCTCTCTCCCCTTCTTCTGCCATCACCGGTTACATAATGGGCAAAACTGAGTCCTCTCCACAATCGATGCTTCTCTCACAATCTCCGCATTATCTACCATGGCACGCGCATATCACTGCTCTCACCGTATCTCCCTCCGCGCGACGATTAGGTCTTGCAAGAACTTTGTCTCAAGTTTTAGAGAAAGGAGGAGAAGAATATGATGCTTGGTTTGTGGATTTGTTTGTGAGGAAAAGTAATATGATTGCGCAGGAACTTTACAAGGGACTAGGTTATAGTGTTTTCAGGACGGTCAAAGGATATTATAATGAGTTTGTCGGGGGAGAAGAGGTGGATGAGGGAGAGGGGGAGGATGCGTATGATATGCGGAAACCGTTGAGGAGGGATAAGAATCTAAAACATGTTCGGGAAAATGGGGAGAGTTTCGAGGTTATGCCGGAGGATGTTTGGTAAGAGACAGAATTGGGGGTTGGATCAAAGATTTGACTTGATGATGTGTGGAGTTTGAAGAAGGCGGTTGAGATTAATTTCTCCCGCGAAGGATCATGCTGTATCGCTGGCTGGGGAAGATTCAATATTGAAATTTGGAGAGTTCAAGGCAAATGAGAGACATGATAATGAACATCATGGTATATGGATGATATATGTCTCTACGGGCGATGGAGCTCATCCAAGTATAAGGCACCCTTGCCTTGAACACCTATCTTTCGTTCGTCTAGCATTTTGCACCATGTTCAAATATTCAAGAAGATGAATCGGCCCATCTTCAGCTTTTCCAGCTTGAAGTCAAGCCTAAAGCCTAAGTTCAACCTGGAGAAACATTTGGATCATTGATTGATTTTGAATGTCTCGGAATGATAGGTGATTTTAAAACAAAAAACCGTCAGCAGGACGAAAGTGAAAATGACCGACGCAAATTGGTGAGTTGCTTTCCCTAAAGATATACGGGGTATGGGACAAAGTTTCGTACAAGATATGTTATTCCGCCTATCATGTATAAACTACCCCATTCAATACATACGTCTTTTTATGCATGTTTCTTTTACATACTCTCACAATTCGCCATCGACTGCTTTTACCCTTCCCTCCTGTTCCCACTACCACACCTCGGGCATACCTCATCCCACCTATTTTCCACCCGCAGTACCCCCACCACCCAACTCTGGCACTCTACTCCCTACACTCTCCCCCGGCAAGCTAACCTGTTCCTCAAACGCCCCTTCCAACTTTGCAAAATTATACAGTCCATGCACAATCGCCTCTTCATGCTCAACTTTTCCCATACTATCGAGTGTTCCCTCTGTGGGAAATTTTTGACCTACTTCTCCGAGGACTCTTGCAGTTTCGGTATGTGCTGCGCTGTTGTGGATAGAACCGCCTGTGCGGGGGATTGTAGGAAGGGAGGAGGATAGAGAGGGGAGGGCGAGGGTGTTGGATACTGGGGTTTGTGTTAGGGGGACGAGAAATGAGAATTAGGGAGAGGGGAATTAGGAGGAGAAGCAAACTTTTAGGTTCAATCCCAATTTCAAATTCTACTTCCCCAAATATCTTTTCGAAATCCCCATCTAATCTCTCAACCTCCAATCTCGGTGTTCTTTTCTCCCCAGCTATATCTTCATATCTATATTCCATACAATTTTCCTCTTCATCCTCATTTTTCCTTCCTCTCCCACTCATACTCCTTAGTTTCTCAGAAATACAATGCTCAAGTGTTTGAAGTCTAGAAGAATGAAACGTATGAACAGGCGGATATTGTTTCTCACTCGGTCTCTCAAGCAAAAACACAAATGTGAATTCACGCGGAAGTCCCGACTCCTGCTGTGCATTTTCCTCGAGCGAGAAATGCAGGAGTGTATCCGGATACCGAATCGAATGCTCGAAAGTACTGCGTGTGGAACCTTGTCTTCATACAAACGTCGACATAATCAATGACCCAAATACGAAAAAGAAAAAACCAGCAGAAGCAGGAAGAAAGAAAGAAAGAAAGGGAAAACATACATCTTCATCATCGTCCCCACAACTTTACTTTTCTCCTCGCCAATACTCGGCTTCACACATACATTTGCCGGTCCCTGCGTCACACCCAGCGAAGCTCCCAATTGAAAATTCCACTTCAAACTCTCTGTGCTTATTTTTCCATATGCTTGATGCGGCGCATATTTGAGGAACCTCAAATTCCCTCTTTGATCACGGATTTTGATATCGATTACTGCGCTCTCGAAGCGGTGCGCAGGGGTAGAGGGATGGAATATGAAACTGAGAGCAACGAATGTCACGTGTAAGGTATGTTTGGTGTGGAGATTAGCATCGGAATAGATACCGTGTTGGAGGCGTTGGAGATGCACGGATATGAATGTGTGGCCGGGGAAAGAGGATTCGAAGAGCAGGTGAGAGTTGATTTGGTATTTTTCGTCGGGGCCGTTCTTGTTGGATTTGGTGGTGGGGGGAATAGTGGATGAGATTATTGTGGAGGGAATGTCGGAGATGGTTGTGTTGATAATGGTAGATTCGGAAGAGGTTGAGCTTGGTTCTTTGGATTTTTGGAGTGGAGGAGATGTTGTGTTAGTATTCTTGTTCTTGGAAGTGATTACATTCTTGAATGTCTTCTGAATCTTCTCAGAAGTCGTATCTTGGGAACGCTGTAAGTCTTGAGATGTTTGATGTTTTCGGGTTGTTTTGTCTCGGCTTGGCTCTTCAATAGGTGATATTTTCAAGGAAGACTTCCTCTCTGATATTGTCTTCAAATTTGGCACTTCAGAAATGCGGCGACTAATTGATTTGCATTGCTTTTTCATGTAGTAAGTCATGTTGAAAATCGATGTCGAGAGAAGATTGATCATGAAGTTCACTAAGATACAGAAGAAGGATATTTAAAGGGATTTGGAACTGGTTAGGAAAGTGCTTTGTGACTCTCGCTCATGTAGTGAAAGTTTGAAATATCCAAGAACATAAAAAGCTGTCGGTGGTACTCTGAATGGAGGCATCACAAGAGCTTGTGTGACGAAATTCTCAAAGTATATATTGTAGCTAGAGTCTAAAGCTGGCGCATTCGGACCTTCTATCCACGTAACTTTTGTGAGAGGGAATTGACGAATCACTGATATTTAGAGAAACCATGTAGTTCAATCGAGAAAGATAGCAGGAATAATGAATTGCTAGCCAAGAGGTCTTCCATGACCTATGTTGTCACCAGTAAAACATCTAAATCCATTTCAACCCCTAGCTCATACATAATCAAACTTTTGGGTCCAATTGCATAGCAATCACTGTCACTTCAGGAAACATTTCAGTTCTTCCAGTTTCTCTGAAACCATTTTTCGTATATAGCAGAGTTCCAGCACGAGAGGCTTCTAGCACAAGGGGAACTTGTTCTTTTTGAGCCAAATCAATTCCATATTTGAGCATCATTCCACCAACACCACGACGATGAAATCTGGGATGTACTGCTAATGCAGCTAACTCCAAATACTCTGGAATCGAGCCAAAATGATCAACCGATAGATTCCTCATGTAATGGATCTTATCCCAAGGCCGGTCGCGATCAAGGAAGTATTCAGAATACCACATTTCCGCTCCTATCAATGTTCTTTCCAATTCTGTTTTATGATTAGTGCATTCATGAGAGAGAAGGTATGGAAGATCATACTCGAAAATAAAGTATCAGTTTGCCACTTCTTCGCTGCTTCGCTCTTTCCCACTCTTGTCCAAAAAGCGTATCCAAGCAACTCAGATTCTCCAGACCAAAACTCATCATTTTCATCGCTCATCGAGACATAACAATGTGTGCCGGCTTCAACAAGACGTTTTCTAATGCGTAAATTGATACTTCGACGGAGGGAGCCATTTGCAACAGCTTCGGGAGGAAATAGTATTGTTTGTAAATCATCATCACGGAATGCTTCAGTTCCGAGATCAGCCAGAGCGGGCAAGTCATCTCTTCTCAATCGTCTGAGATGCATAATTCTTTAATAAGAGTAAAACTTTGCGCAACGATGGGATTTAGATCTTGAGAAGAAGTTTGCCAAGAGTGATCAATATCATCATCTTGGTACTTATAGCAAGGCGGCAAAAATGCTATCAGATCTTTCGTTATGTTATCTATTACCAATCTATTCAGGTAAACAGCTCGTATCAACAACTTATGAAAGTCTCCGTCGGCCTGAACCAATTTACCTATCAACCTAGGTAGTACCTAGTTGTTGCTGACTGCAGTGATTAAGCAGAAAGATGACACACGCCGAAGCACGTAAAGAGTGGGAGCATATTGCTGCTTTCTTTGGTTCTTACTCCGTGGCTGTAGGTTACATAAGCGAAGGTGAACTTTGAATGTTGAATCCCATCAAGTCCAAACTGTTGTATTAATCCACCATCCTATCCATTGATACAACTGTTGGATTGTATGTAGGTTGTCTGGTTGTGCACCAACAAATTATCTACGCTTAGGTTACAAATCATCCAAATTAGGCTTAACCTTAAGCTTAATCATTCGGTTCATTAAATATTCCGATTCCCATTGCACACCTGCACTACCAGTAGACACAAACATCTCTTCCTCAATTCATTCAGTATTCTTCACTACACCGACAGTGAATCATCAATCAAGTCATGCCAACAGGCACTGCTCATTGCCAGCGCTTGCGCTTAGCTACCTAGGTAGTTTGACCCTTTGGGCTTCTGGCTCCTAGTCTATCTCCTTGTTGGTCTCTGAACTTGCTGTTTTTATGTGCTGCTAATGAGAACTCATCTAGAATCATCACATTCATCTTCAATATCAATCGAAGTGGATTCAAATCTTCCTTGTCCTCTTCATTTACACCAGAATTCAAGGAGAACGAAGTTGTGTAGTAATGTTGTGGAAAGCCCTCGATGAAAGCGAAACCTTTGCTTCATACCCTGAAATGTAATTCCAACAGATGACAGTATCATTTGCATCCTTGGCATCAATCCCTTTGCTGCAAGAAGAAAGTTCAAAAGAAGAGACACTTGTCATCCTTTCTTGTCTGTATCCAGAATGCAGATGCCATAGTACCTGCGTTTGTAGGTTTGATTGGCAAATGTAATTTGCCTAAGCAGCCCAAACTATTTAAAGGGAGGCGGTAGTCTTTGTCCAAAAATGTCCTGTTCAATCCTCAATTATTCAGTACGGCTGTCAGCATATGACTTAATCTCATTCACTACAGTTCATACAGCTCTCTTTTGACTAAATTTAATAAGCAACTTCGGGTAAAGAATGGCTCGAGTGCCTTTGAAATAGTCTTTTAAGAACTCTCCAATAGCTCGAACTCGCACCAAAAACAACAACTCCATCAAGGTACATCACCACCATAACCATCATCATCGCCACCACCATTAGCATATGACTGTCCCATCCTGAGAATAGACTTTCAATCTACCAATATTCGTTTCACCTCCTGATCAAGCGTTTACATCCGGAGAATGATTCGTCAAAATCAGTTAATTTCGGCAATGTGGACCCGGAGATGTGTTGCTACAACCTGGAGATTACATCATGTCAAGTTTCACAACAATGCACAGAGTCAATCCAATCTGGAGCAGGTTCGTAACCCTATTTCTGTTCCCCATACATCTACACATCTACACCATAAACATCACTTTTGTCGTTTGAAATCAATTTTGTTATACGACCAGAAAAAATAACGGTATACTAACAGAACGCCGCAACACAGATACCATCTTCTCTATTAGGAAGAGTCCCTCTTGATTCTCAGGATAGGAAGCAGCTGGAGTCTGGCGAAATTAGTTCCATACAATCAAAAATCAGAGAAAGTGTTCATACAGACACGTTCACATGCGAGAGAATACTCACAAATGATCCCACTCATCACGAAAGAAAAAATCTCACACTTCAAGAGGTACTGGCAGATTTGAAAGAATTGAAACAATATAAACAGACCTTATCAAAAAATATCCAGAAGCTAAAAGAAAACACCGGGAAGCTAGAAGAAGACACCGGGAAACTAAAAGAAAACACCGGGAAACTAAAAGAAAACACCTGGAAGCTAAAAGAAGACGTCTGGAAGCTAAAAGAAGACACTCGGAAGCTGAAAAACGACAAAAAGCGAAGACACGCTGGTGAGGTGGTTAACATGAGAGATCAATTGGCTCAATTAGTCCTCCCTCGCAAGGAAAATCAACAACGCAAACAGCAGGTACATGATCCAAAAGATATGAAGGATACTAAAGATGTTCGAAATCGGTTTGCACATGAAATTGATCTTGAGTCAACATTCGAACAAATAGCTCTTTACGACCAATTTGATATCTGCTGCATCACAATCTTTGGAGAAACACAGAATAAAATCAAAGAATTGCTTACATGGGATAAGGATGGAGAATGTGAAGTTTACAACATCTTCAATGAGCACGGCGACGCTTGGCACAATCAATTCGCCAATACCTGTATAGAGCCTTTCAATAAATGGTTGTCAGCAATATACGCACTCAAAGAAGCCGAATCAGTTATGTTGGAGAACCCATTTTCCTATTCCGAAACTCGCATTCAGAAACAAAAGAATGGGATCAAGGAAGCAATTAGAGAATGGAATGAAACCTTTATGACGGATAAATCAAAGAGAGGAAAGAGAAGAGGAAGATGCCGCGAACTGATTAGGAAGGATTACACAGACAGAGGATTGATGGAGCAGATAAGAGCAGCTTTATTACATGGTGTGACTTTGGTTGAAGGAAGTGGCGAGAGGAAGGAGACCGAGGAGAATAAGGAGATTGAGGAGAGTAAGGAGATTGAGGAGAGTAAGAACAATGAGGAGAGCAAGGAGAAGTAAGAGGGCAAGAGTAAGAAAGCTAAGAATAGGGGTGAATTCTCAACGCGGAAATGGAGTAAAAAATGGTGACCGGCTTAGATAGGAGTATGGTTGGGTAAGAGGAGTTGTTCGCATTGGTTTACTCTAGGCCTGGGCAGGAAGGGGAACAACGATGTAGTGGGATATATGCTTGTTTGGGTTGGTTCTGTCCTGGGAAGGCACCTCAAAATTAGATTCACGTTCGCAGAGATTAAAACACATTCCACTCACGCTTCCCCTAACCAAAGCCCAAACCAGTATGTTTTCATAACTCATACCTTGGAGATGTGCAATAAGACATACAGGGAAAAAGTATACACGTGATGTAGATTTACCTCTACTCAAGCCACGCCGATCATTCTGATTTGATTGACTTGACCAGGAGAGTTCGCACATATTCAGAAAAAGATACATCAAAGTCAATTGACAATTTCACAAACATTTTCTTTGCACAGTACCTACTTAGTAGGTGACTTTGGCACGTGTCGAACAATACCCGTGCAATTTGAAAGTCCACAACTCCACAACTTCTCCACGATCTCAACCTGCAAAACGAGCTATCATCTATGGATGTTCAAAGCGAGCTCTCAACCTAGGAATGCACGTTATCGTATCTTTGACCCGCTCACTCGATTCATACACACGAAAACTCCAAAATTAAAGCTTGATCACGATCCAAACAACTTCAGCCCTTATTTTCGTGGATGTGTCATGGTGCACAAATAGATGCACGATGCCCGCATAAGAATATATACACTTGACGGCCCGAACCAATTTACGAGTGTTCTGAGGCGAATGAAGAATCTTGGGATACGAAGTTGATGATACTCCAGTAGTACTGTGGGTTTACACAGCAGCATCAAAATGAGACCCCCGAGTGTGGAGAAGATTTCATGCATGGTTCAACGAAGTTCCACAAATATTCTCACTCCGTACAGTTCAAGTTACCACTTAGGAGACAAGTTCAGCCTCTTCAAGTGAAGTAGCCGTTCCTCAAAATTAAAAGGTATACAACAAATATTCAGTCAATTGGTATTCGTTACCCCTCAACGAGAAATTTATTTGTCATTTTCCTCATTCCACATGGAACTCACATTTTACTGTGTTCACGGTAGCATACATATGAAAGGACCAAATGCACCAATCTCCAATATTCTACATGTCAGCCGCACAAAAATACGCAAAAGCTTGCTTCATTTCGACAGTTCCAAGTGGATAGATCGAGGTACATGGAAAGCTTTCAACATCATATGGTTACATTCATAACAAGGTTTTCATCTCAAGTCGGACATCTGATGCTAACGTTCCTGACTAAAACGGATGCAGTAACCATGAGAAAGATTAAAGCGGACAAGTTCAATCTATTTGGAAAGATAACGTTACTTTTGATGTTCTGGTTGATATCAATGCTTCGTAGAAAGGATCAACAATAATCTCAAGGCCTTTTAACTTATATTTAAAGCTGTCATAAACGCTCGGTCGTCATTGGGCGTATTTTGAAAATAGATCCTCCGAAGAATGTGAGATCAAGAACATGCTCAAGTATGTTTTAAAAGTGATTTCGGAAAAAAAAAACTTTACCGCGCCTCTGTGCCTCGAAACCATCAAAATATTCCACTCGTAATAATCCACGATAATCTCACCGAGATAAATTTACATGATGTAGCTTGGAAATATATCTGCAATGTTCTCGGCTTGCCGCAAAGCCGAGCAAGTGTGCATTCGTCGGAATTTGATAGTCAGCTATTGTCTTCTTGTCTAGACCTTTTCATTATCATACTATAGATAGCTCACAACATCAAAGATTGTACAGTTACCATGCATGCGCCACGCGATTTTATCTGCAAATAATGTTGTGTTGGATACTAGGAATAAATACATGAATAACTTTGTGAAATTATTCTAGTTGCTGGCACAAACGAACACCGGGTTTGTCTCCATGAAGACTGTACCTTCATCACCATAATTTTGAAGTGTGAAGTGAGTATATATTGTCTCAATCAACCCTCAAAGTTTATTCTTCTTCAAGTCTACAGTGTTTCCAGCATTCCCAGCTCTCTTTTGACACGTCTTGCTGTCAGTATTTTGTTTTTGTTGACCTCATCGTTATCCGAGATGTTAAGCTTCACCTCGCTCTCAATTGCAACGGCAATGACTACACTCTTTTTAGGCACCAATGCTGGTCCTTTACTGGCTGAAAGATGGGCACCAGAGCTTCCTACATGTACAAACACCACAGATTTTGTTTATGCAGGCTGTTTCATAGATCCAAGCTCCCCAAGTGCTTTGTTATTCAGGACCGATCTCAATAGTCAAAACATGACAGTTGAAATTTGTGTTGATTTCTGTAAAGGTAAAGTCTTTAAAAATTGTCGTCTATCGAGTGGTGACTAATGTATTGTAGGTAATGGATATAAATATGCTGGATTAGAATAGTGAGTACAGGCGCAAAGTTTCGAAACATACAAGCGACAGATGGCTATATCCTTCTAATTGAAGGTCCGAAACGATAACTGACTTGTTTGCAGCTACGGAGAATGTTTTTGCGGTGCCTCTGTTGGTGGCCCACAAACGTCCGAATCAAATTGTTCTTTCCCATGTACTGGAGATAATACCGAATCGTGCGGTGGGAATGATATACTCTCAGTTTACCAAGATACCACATTCCCAACTGTCGATAGTACTACCATTTCTGATTACACACCAATGGGATGTTATTCCGATCTTGGGCCCAATGGTCGTACTCTCGCATGGAAACAAGACCAAATCCCCGACGCTGATTTAACGATCGAAGCTTGTCTTCAAGCATGCAAAGAAGGAGGGTATGCTTTTGCTGGAGTTGAATACTCACAAGAATGTTATTGTGGTGTTGTACTTGGTAATGGAACCGCAAAAGTTGATGAGTCAAATTGTCAAATGACTTGTAACGGTAATACCACCGAGTTATGCGGTGGTGCAGCAAATCTATACCTTTACGTCGCCGAAGACTTGCTATCAACGGATCCTTGCAATGGTAATCCAGGTGGCCCAGTATCATCTTCGACCAGTTCATCTTCTCCATCTACTTCAGCTTCTACTTCAGCTCCAGTATCCTCGTCTACTGGAACAACGATCACTTCAACTTTGAGCTCATCAATCTCGAGTTATTCTTCTTCTTTGTCGAGTGATACTAGTTCATCTTCAGCAGCTTCTACACCATATTATTCTCCACCACCATATACACCTCCACCATATACGCCTCCACCATACACGCCTCCACCATACACACCGCCTCCTTATTCCTCCGCTCCGGTATCTTCATCTATCTATTCGTCTGTTATAACCTCGTCCTCTTCCTCGCCAGCTTCATCCGCACCAGCATCCTCATCGGTAAGTCTGATCCGCATGATATGGTCTTTTTGAGATCTTGTATCACATGACCCTTTTTACCCTTGATTCATTCCTGTTTATATTTTGCATGAAATTTCTGATAAAAAGACACTAACTCCGTAAATTTGCAGTCATCGGTTTCATCATCCGCTCCATCGTCCTCGTCGACATCTATTTCCCCACCTTCTTCCTATTCAATTCCTTCAAGTTCCGCTTCATCGTCGTATTCATCCGCTTCAGCTTCTTCCTCTTCGTCCCCAATCTCAACTGCCCCTTCGTCGTCGGCTTCTTCCTCATCGCCAGCCTCATCATCGGTAAGATTAATTAGTTTGATTCTTCAAATTCTCCAATCTCAGATAGCCCTCACTTCTCTTTACATTTTATCCCACACAATCCCTTTGTACCCTAAAGAGCTCTGACTCATTATTCTTTCTTGAAATTTTATTTTAATAGAATGATACTGACTCTAAACATCTAGTCTTCTGTTTCATTCGCTGCTCCATCCTCTTCTTCCACTCCTGTTTCTCCGTCATACTCCTCATCGCCACCAACCACATATTCAGCTCCTGCATCTTCTTCCTCGATCTCACATCCTTCATCCACCCCTCCATTATCATCTGTAAGTTGAGTTTATATATAAAACTTGCACTCCTTTCCATCCGGTGCCTCTTTCAAATAAACTAGCAGTCTCATGTTACTGTTCGGATTTCTTCCTAACATCCACTATTGCTTTGACTACTGATCTATGATGGAATGATTTATTTGAAGTGCGTTTACTGAGTATGGTTTTATGTAGTCATCAATTACATCTAATCCTCCATCATCATCACCTTCCTCGACAGCAGGACCAACTTCTCCAACATTATCTTCCTCTACAATTTCCTCGACGATTTCTTCTCTTTCTTCGCCTTCTACTATTCCTCAATCTTCGACCACGACATATTTTTCATCTTCGGTATCTTCAACTGCTCCAACATCCTCGACAATTACAATTTTACCCTCGACATCCATATCATCCACACAGCCATCCACTACTGCCTCTCCGACTACACCAAAAACTATCGCTACAATATGCACCACTACTATTGTAACAACTCCAACCCCAACCTGCGAATATAAAGTTGGAAACTGGTGTTCTAATCCCCTCCCTCCCTTTACCGATCAAAATTCTTGCTTGGCTGCTGCAAATACTTGTCTCGTACAATTGACATCCTGTCTCTTGTCCGCTGGATTCCCTGGATCCCTTCAATGTCTACAATTTTCCTCTTGGTGTGAGGAAATTGAATCTTATTGTGGGAGCTATTGTCCTGGGTCTTCTTGTTCAAACACTGGATGTAGATCTAGACATCCTCCAGCAGGCTACACGCCCCCAGTTATCAGTGTAAGAACAAGTATCTACACATGTCCCACCACTATCCAAACCTCAACATCCAAACCAACATCTACCTCTTCAATCGCTCCTCTTCCTACGTGCAACAACATCTGCGTTCAACCTAGTAATCCTTCTCAAGGATACAGTTCCTATTCTCCTGTTGGATCAATTCCAATTCCATGCTATACATGCAATAATCTACAACCAGAATATAACTCAGGGTATCCATTTAAACTCTATACAGCCAGAAATTCAGAAGATAGTCCAAGTTACCAAAGACCGGATTGTGGGCAAGGATGTCAAGATGCTTGTGACGCGCAGTATGAAAGTTGTGTGGGTACTTATGCTCAGGGTTGTGGATATGGAGGTGGTGGAGGGGGTGATACGTATGCAAGTGCATTGGTCAAATGTGTACAGCAAAAGGCTGATTGTTATATTGTCAATGAGGGGGTAGGAGGTGAGGGGAGATGTGGGAGTTATGGGGTGGGGTATTAGATTAAGAGGGGATGTGGGTGTGAAGAGAATAGCTTGGATGGTGGTTAGGGGTTTTTTCGTTGCTCAATGGATGCGAAAATGAGGGAATATCTGAGGGAGGTTCTTTTCTTTCCTCCAGTGAGACAGTTGTACTCACCTAGCTTTTGCTAACATTCATCTCGTAAGAGTTGAAATCTTTACATTCTATATAGATATTTATCACTATTTTTATCATTCTTACCCCTTGTATCATTCGATGCTGGACATTGTGTTAAATAAATATAATATTGAATGTGACGCTTGAAGGAAACGACTTTCGGTGTTTAGCATTGACGGTTTGATAACTTTATTGTTGGATAGCTGAATGTAAGTTTAAAAACTGGGTTATGGAAGTAAAGACTATCTATGTATGGGACATATATTGACTCAGACAGTCTATTTACTCTTGACTGCGAGTGAATCTTCTAGTGCGAAGAAGTTGTTTGTAAACATCGAAGTAGGGTCACGCAGTCCTCACGTGGGATGGAAGCTGCTGGTGGCTGAGATGGCTGAGATATAAATGTGGCTGTTGAATGTGGCTTGTCGGGCTTCTGCGGAAAAGTAACCTCGGGAGAGTGAAACAAGATTCTTAACCCCCCGATACTCTAGCCGATCGATGATCATGTTGTTTTTCCCAAGTATCTCTTGGAGGTCGTCTCTAAATTGCAATAAGCCCTCCTAACATGATTTATTGTTAATCTTATACCTGAGCTAAAATGATTCGTCGAATTTTGTCTATGGAGTTCTTATCCGCAGGCATATCGGATGTTACCCCTTCATCGTCGGAACTTTGCTATGGAAACATCTCGGACCGCAACCTGTCTAGCATTGATACAAATCTATGATTCGCAAGTCAATAAATCCTAAGATCCATGAATACACCAGATGATTCAAAATCACGGAGGACTCTAGGTAATACCATTGGTAATGTTTATAGTCAGGTACACGGAAGAAGAGCGGGGCATACTACGGAACTGAATTGCCCCTCTATCCTTAGACAAAGTATATATAACATGAAGGGACTTGCAATGCCGAAGGAGATCTCATTCTGATTTTTGATTTATGAATCTCGTATCTCATAAAGTCTTCAAAAAGAATTTATATCACCATGAGGGATTCTACCAAAAACATATCAGCCGATCGTTCTGGTTCAACACGTTATTCAGTAATTAATGGTTCTCAAGAAGCTACTCGAACTCTACAACAATTGGTCTGTAGTGAACTTCCCTCAGAAGTATTGAAACATCTAGAAGACGTTACTTATACAACTGCAACCGATGGAACTCAAATCTATTTCCCATGTCCTTTCAAAGAAACTGAAGCTACAGTTGCATTAAAATCAGTCGAAGCAAGCGTTGTAGCTGCCATTGCGGATCTTCGTTACGGAGAACAGAAAAGAAAAATCGAAATCAATCTTGAGCAAACAGCTACTTTCTTATTCTCAACTTATATTGCTACAATTGCCGGAATGAATAAACAACATCCTGATGTTAAATCGAGACTGAAAGGTATTTTTCTTGAATCTATTTCAGGAATATTTATTGATGCATTTTACAGATACGGACTTGCTCAAAGCACAAGCTATCTTGTATCGCAGACTGTCAGCAAATCTTTATGAAACTAAGAATCCAGGGGAATACTTTCATATTCATGGATCATTAGAAGCTGGAAAGACATTGAATATGATTGGTTTGGAAGCATATCGACCAGATCTTACAGATTATAGGGAATGTATTGATGTTATCGAAAAGCATGTCAAACAATATACGGCTGCGGAATTGGAGATTATGAATGCTGAAATAAATCAAGCTGGTGTAACAGCATTGAAATGGGAAGATTTTAAGAAGACAAGCCATGTAAGAATCTTCACCTCACTCTATTATGTTTTACTAATTATCATTCAGGGTCGGACACTTCTCAAGTTACCTCCTTGGCAACTCGATAGCCTTCAAGATGATTCCCCACCATGTCCATTCCCAGAAGTAGCTCCCGCAACTCCTACTTCCAAACCACAAGTATTATCCGGAATTCGCGTTTTAGAATTGTGTCGTATTATTGCTGGGCCTGCCATGGGTCGAACACTCGCTGAATATGGTGCCCAAGTCATCAAAGTTACATCTCCAAATTTATCTGATGTTCCATTTTTCCAAGTCGATGGAAATACCGGTAAACATACCGCGGATATCGATCTTAAAACGCCAGCTGGTCGTGCCACGTTTGAGGAATTGCTTAAATCCGCCGATGTTATTCTCGATGGATATAGACCCGGAGCTTTGGAACGATTAGGTTACGGTCCAGAAAATATCGTAAAATTGATCTCTGGAAGAGGCAAAGGGATTGTATATGTCTCCGAAGATTGTTTTGGTTATCAAGGAGAATGGGCTGGGAGACCTGGATGGCAACAAATCGCAGATTGTGTAACGGGAGTAGCCTGGGCTCAAGGAGAATTTATGGGTCTCGATGAACCTGTCGTTCCTCCTTTCCCCATGTCTGATTATGGAACTGGATGTATGGGTGCTATTGCTGCTTTGGTGGGATTATTTCGAAGAGCTAAGGAAGGAGGGAGTTGGAGAGGAACGACTAGTCTTTGTCAATATGATGTGTTTTTACTGGGATTAGGATTATATGGGGATGATGTTAAAGAGAAGGTTAGAAAAGATCATGATGATCATTTCTTTGATTTGAGACATGCGGATAGTGTGGATGAGGTTGGTGGGAGAGCATTAAAAAGTATGAGGAGAGCACATCCCGAATTATTCGACGAGAAAAATATGCAAAAGACATTCAGCATAGGATTCGGCGAGGAAATCAAATGGTGCAGAAGTCCCGTCTCAATCGAAGGATTACGAGTCGGATTCGAAAGAGCAAGTCGTCCAAACGGTTATGATAAACCGACGTGGGAGAATTGGGAAATCGAGAAAGAAGTGGTGGAAGGATAAATTACACACTTTGCTTTGGATAGGGTATCATATCTCAAATTTGTATCAAAGAAGCGAATACGATGTTCACTCATATTAATTAATGACCTCGCTTGTTGTCATGTGTAACCATCGCCAACGCATTTATATTGCATGGACATCTCGCAAGCGCGTGCACTCTTTTTGCCTAATTACAACCCGGAAGCGCGGGATGGGATGGCGTATTGCCTATACCATTTTAACTCAACATTTTTATGCTTTATCCAATGGTTGACGGGAAAGTTAATATGGAGATCAATATATAGTAAGAATATTACGAACAAGTCCCCGTGATATGGAGGGCTAATCTAATATGTATTAATAGATAGATTTATTCGCGTGGCACATGTTTATTTGGGTTTTGATGATGCTTGGCAGGCTGAAATTTACAGCTTTTGAAGCGGGATTGGTGATAATAGTTCGAGGGCTGCCTTTTGTTGCAAGTCGATATCTGAATCTTTGGAGACGAGAAGAAATGGCTTGCAGGAATTATAGGGCGGATTTTTTAGTGGAGAAAATGCTTGGGGCCGGGGAGTTTATTGGTGTGGAGTTTGTGGAGTGGGCTTGGTAGGGGGGTGGGTCGAATGGATGGGGATGGAGAGATGGTATGTCGGGGAGGTAAGAGGATTGGGGACGAGACTGGTGGATGGAAGAGTAAGGGAATGGGGAGTGGCTTGTGAATGGTGAGATGAGTTTGATGTGTGGTGTGGTGTGGTGCGGCCTGAGCTGAGCTGGGGCTTGGACTTGGACTTGAGAATTGATGACGGATGGGTGAGTGGATGTACGGTACTTGGGATTATAAAAGGTACATACTTGCTGATTCTGTAAAGGTATCTCGTAGTCTTCAAGTATGGACGTTGATGGGAAGTCTCATGAAGTAATGGTAATGCTATTTTCTGCTGATATACACATATGAAAAAGTACCTGGTGGCGGAATGAGCGAATGGCCAGGTAAAGATGATGTGTAATGAACATCATGTTCTTGATACCTATGAACACGCTTCTCCTTCTTCTTCAAGATGATTGGAAGATCATAGGGTGAGACTGTAAGCCTTTTGTGATGCGGCCAGTAAATGACAAGCTGGGCTTAAACATTTGGAAGAACAAGAAGATGAGTCGATGAAAATCCCGCGTTTTCATGCGTTCGATGTGATGTTACCGCACACGGCATGGCTTAGTGAGATATGGATGTGATGTTTTCTTGGAATGACTTCTTTGAATTCTCGGGTTGGTATGTGAGGTTTTGAGGCGTTGGAGTGGGGTGGGTGATTGATTGAGCTGAGGGGAGACGAAGGGGGAGCTTACGTTTGGTTGGATATTTGGGGTTTGATTGGACTTGCTTTTTCATGCTGCGTTGAAGTTGTACTAGGGATTCGCGGTGGCTATACTGTGGTTATAGATGTGAACCTATAGTGTGTGAGATGAAATGGATTGATATTGGTGAGAGGCTGTTGGTTGAAGCTATTTGGGTGCGTCGCATTGTGTTACAGAAATTTTGACTCAATTCCTTCTGCTTTTGTCTGTATTCAGGTCTGTATTTGTGTTCAAATGGGGTGAGGGATGCTTTCATATTCACTTCCGGTTATACTTGGCACTTTGAAGTCCTTGAAACAGTGTTAACCTTGGAATATTTGATGTGGATTGGAAGTTGTACTCTTTCGTTCCAATAGACTTCAGTCTTCGAAATGGCTTAGTGGTTACATCGAATTTTGTGGACATGACGCTACGACACTTCGTATAGATCTTCATAGATTTTCATAGAGTAAATGGATGATTTCTGACACTTGGTACTTGGCGAATACTTCCGTCTGAAGAATGCTACCCTCACAGAAAAATGATAACATAGACTTGCTAGTAGTAGATGCATTACAATCAGATTCATGACAGTAAAGGTTCTAACCGTCGTTCCCGCCACATCTGCGTTCAGATACAGGATATTTTGCAGCACCAGGAATGGAAATCAGAGACCCCTCTCCACACTACGGATGTTGTTAGCAATTTATGTAGATTCTAGATCCTTCCGCGGTCCAACCAGTCTTCACTCTGAGCATGTCAAATTCAGAGAATCAAACTTAGAATACTTGCAATTTATGTACAAAATTCATGGAGGTAGGATGTTGTATTCGTTGTATTGTGGCATCATATCGAAATACCATCATAGCCCTCTTTCAGGATGCGCAGGATTCCTTGGGGTTTTGATGGCTGAATTCAGCTGAGCAGATAATCGTGTAGATGATCATATTTATTGGTGTATTGGGTCTTGCCAAGTTCAAGACTCGGAATATCTTACAGAAGTGAATGATCTACCAGGTTGAGGAAGTTTGAGAAACTATAGGGCGTTGTTTGAACTACTATGTGTATTTATGTATTAAAGTTAATGGGATAACCTCGCTTTTTCCCTCCAATTCAGAGATTCCGGATCCTATGACGGAGGCAAGAAAAGGTGTGGTTGACTCTACTGCTCTCTTAGACTCTGATCTTACTCTGTATGATGATCTCCCTGCCAAAGTCCGTTCAGATACTGGACTCCTCTTCATTTTGGGAGTAATAATCATTTTTTGTGTCTTGGTCAGCAAAGAGTTAAAAGACGAAGCATGGATAGTAATTCCAACGGCAAAAAAATGGTAAGTAGTCAGTCAGTATCGCCGTCGTTAGTTGTAAAAACGTCTGATCTACTCACTTTTTGAATTCCCCAGATTCACAAATTTCGAGACCCGATTTTGCACCGAAAGATTGGCTTAAAAGACGATTCATGTGCCCCGATGCACGGCTGCGGCTTCTTATTGGTATCGAAGTGTCTAGGTTTGCAATCTTCCCTTCTAACAATGCCGAGACTGCACCTTTATGTATGCACTTCGCGAAACGTATTATGTGTCACAATAAGTGATTGAATGTAACCGATTTCTTCACCTTCTTTTAATTACACTTTGCGAATCTTGGGGCGAGGAATCTGGGAAATCTCTCTATTGTGTAATATACTGGCTTGTAAACAGTATTACAATCCCTGTGGTGGCAGAATCCGTGGTTAACGAATAAATCATTTCGTCAATTGTATCAAAAATTTTAATAATTAATATTATATTGAAAAAATCGGTTATATAGTATTAATGTAATTGATTTTATATATATATATAATTAGAAAATTTTACTTTAAGGAGACTTAGAGAAATTTTCGAAATTTTTTGATTTTCGAAAGTTTTAGTCTAAGGCTATTTGTAAGTAAAAAAGTTTATTTGTATTGAATTCGATTACTAATCGAATTCAATATAAAATTATATATATTAAAGTTAAATGATATTCCTGTTTAAACAATACAGTCTATATTGTATAATATAATAGTAAAGCTTTTAATTAAAGAATAAATCGAAAGTGAAGTAAGTGATCTGTAAACAGATCTTTTTTTAGATTTTCGGCTAATACCGGTTTTCATCCTTTAACTCCTCCGCTTACCCCTCTCTTCCTTTAGCTCCTATGATTGCTTTTTTTTTCCTTTAGTTCCTACACTCGCTCCCCATCCTCTTTTAGCTTCTTCGCTCATTCCCCTCCTCCTTCTAGTTTCTACACTCGCTTCCCTTCCGTCTACCTTTTCTAAGGGCTTTTATTTTCTTTTAATTTTTTAAAAATGTTAATAATAAATGGTTTTCATTTTGAATAGGAAAGATTTGTGGTTGATAAAATATGTATTTCGTCAAGAACAAAAAAAGTTTGAATTCTGTAATGTATGTATTAAATATTAGTATAGGGATTTATACTGATATTTTTTTTGTATATAGATAAATTAACTTTGCCACCACAGAGAATAAATAAGCAGAGCATGTTGGCAAATCTCAGATTTAAAAAATTAGCATAGCAGCTGTAGGTGTGGTTTTTTCAGAGGATTTTGGACACGGTTTTTCTTGCAAGATATTGGAAAGCTGAGGTATCGTCCAACGGAAATGGAGGATCGTGTCTCAAAATTTAATCTCAAAATATTATGTCCATACTATTCAGAGCAATAGATGTGAAGTTCAAACATTACTGGGGAATCACATTCAACAACAATTTTCAAGTCACGATGACCACATTATTATATCTGTTATGGCCAAGCTAATCGCGGTCAAGAATTAGCCCTGCCTTATCAGGACGATAGGATCTTCTAGTTTTGGATGATATTTGACGTCAAAAATCGTAATTCTTCTTTGGAATTTTTTTTTCAAAGATTATTTTTATGTTGAATGTTTTGAAAATCGAAAATATTTTTTTAATTTATATTAAGAAAATCTTATTAGAGAACCACATTAAGAAAATTTTGAGGAAAATATTATTACAAGTTTCTTTTTTGATTGAAATTGTGTTATTTTATTTTATTTTAAATATAAATATTATATTAACTTCTTAACATTTTAAAGACGTTTTCTTAATTTTCTTTTAAGAAAGACCTGGTGGACTATCCAAGATGAAAATCTAAGAAAGTTTCAAAAAATCATTATTTTTGAATATAATATCGATTTTTCCTTAATGATAATCAATTTCTATCCAAACATCTATTTCAGAGGTGCACGTATGCATGCCACCTGACCAAGTGGTGTTAAACAGGAGGGTATAGTTACAGTTTCTCTTTGCAGCTTGGCTCATCTTCTCCTCATGGTGGCTTACGACATCAATTGAAACTATTCACTTTCTAATATTCTTCGATGCTTTCACTCCGTTACAACTTTGTGTCGAAGTTTTGAGCTCTCATGATTACCGAAAATACTAAAATCTGTATACACTTGGAGAATTGATTCATCACTAGATATATAGTCAATCTCAAGCCTTAAACGAACTAATTCTTCCTCTGTATACTATTTACGCTCTATGATTGAGCTTCTGCACATTACTTTCTCCTTGTGTATTCTCGTTATTCTCAGGTTGCAATATTTATATTATGATTCAATAAATCGATATGCGCAAGATTGACTATCAGGTTAGCCTCCCATACGATGTGATAACATGGTAGATTT